CCTCCCGCCCTCCCTCCGCCGCCGCCGCCGCCGCCGCCGCTCACCGGCCCACGAAGTTCTCGAGCACCGAGCTCTTGCCGGCGCTCTGCCCGCCCACCACGGCGATCTGCGGCAGGTCGAGGTGGCAGCTCTGGCCGATGGAGCTGAAGGCGTCCTGCAGCTTGTTGACCAGCGGGATGAGCTCCTCCATGCCCCGGTTGCCCATGGCGGCGCGGCGGTGCCGGGCCCGCGCTCCCGGCGGCGGCTCCTCCTCACGGGGCCCGCGGCGGCGGCGGCGGCCAAACTTCCCCTCAGAGTCTCCTCATCCGGCACCGCCGGGCCCGCCCCGCTCCCGCGGCGCGCCACGCCATTGGCCGGCTGGGCTGCCCGTCAACAGAACGCGCAGAGCGGATAGGAGCAGAGAGCTGTCAATCATCCCAAAGGGCGGCACCGGGAAGACAAGCCCGCTTTCTATTGGTCTCTCGGCCGTCACTCATCGCTGACAGCCAATGGGAGGCGGCGCTGCTGTGTCAGCTGAGGCGGCGGGGATGCGGTCCCGCCCCTCACCGGTTCCGCCATTGAATTGGCGGACAGAGCTTCCCCCGGGAGCGCGGCCCGGAGCGGCCCCGGGAGCCCGCCCTGCTCTGCCTCCCCGCCCTCCTTTCCGTTCGGCAGCGCGCCCGCCGCTCCGAGCGGGCCGGCCAATTCAACCGAGAGAGGGATCTTAGGGAACGGAAAACCCTCCCGCAGTGGGTCAGCCGGCCGCCGTTCAGCGAGTCCCCCTCGCCGGTTGCCGTTCCGGTGCCTCGCGGCCCTCCCGTGACCGCGCAGCGCCGTGTGTTCCCTCACGGGGAACGCCAGCCCCGAAGCGAATCCCCGGGGCTGGAACGCCCCGAGAACCCCGCAGGAAGCAGGAGCAGCAGGAGCTGGCTCCGCTCCCTCCCCGCCGGGCTTGGGGAGGGGTCTCCGCTGAACTCGGGCGACCTCCGGGGGTCTTTGGGCACCTCCGTTCTCCGCCGCTCCCCATCCCCACAAGGCCCAACATGGCCGCCGCGTTGCCGCGGTAACGGTCACTTCCGGCGGCGCCTCTACTTCCTCTTCCGGCCAAGATGGCGGCGCCCACGGCGGGGCCGCCGCCGGTGCTGCGGATCGCGGCCGAGTGCGGGCGGAGCCGCGCCCGGGCCGGGGAGCTGCGGCTGCCGCACGGCGCCGTGCCCTGCCCCGTGTTCATGCCCGTGGGCACCCGCGGCACCGCCAAGGGCCTGACGGCCGCGCAGCTGGCGGCGCTGGGCTGCCGCATCTGCCTGGGCAACACCTTCCACCTGGGCACGCGGCCGGTGAGCGGCACCGGGGGGCTCCGGGGGGCTCGGGGAGTTCCCGAGTTCCGGGTGAGGTCGGAGCTGCCGCCGCGGGTTCCCGGTTCCGGTTCGGTTCCAGTTCGGTTTCCGTTCCCGGTTCCGGTCCCGGTTCCGGTTCCGGTCCCGGTCCCAGCTCGCTCCCGGTTCCCCGCAGGGCTCGGAGCTGGTCCGGCGCGCCGGGGGCCTGCACGGCTTCATGGACTGGCCGCACAACCTGCTGACGGTGAGACCCCCGGATTGGGGAGGGGGGCACCGCCGGGACCCCCGGATTGGGGGCACGGGGACCCCCGGGCGTGGCCCCCGGGGTGGTCCCGGGGGGTTCCTGGTGTGTTCCTGGGGTGGTCCCGGGGTGGTCTTGGGTGGTCCCGGGGGGTTCTGGGGTTCCCGGGGGGGTCCCAAGGGGTTTTGGGGTGGTCCCGGGGCATTGCCATGGGGGGTCCCGGGGGGTTCCTGGGTGGTCCCGGGGGGGTTCTGGGGTTCCCTGAGTGGTCCCAGGGGGTCCCGGGGTGTTCCTGGGGGGTTCCCGGGGTTCCCCACCCCCCTGAGTGCCGATTTTGGGGTCCCAGGACAGCGGGGGGTTCCTGGGTTGTTCCTGGGGGTCCCGGGGTGTTCCTGGGGGGGGTTTTGGGGCTCCCTGCCCCCCCTGAGCAGTGTTTTTGGGGTCCCCAGGACAGCAGGGGGTTCCTGGGCAGTTCTGGGGGGGTTTTTGGGGCTCCCTGCCCCCCCCGAGTGCCGTTTTTGGGGTCCCAGGACAGCGGGGGGTTCCAGATGGTGTTTCTGGGGGGGTTTTTGGGGCTCCCCACCCCCCTGAGCAGTGTTTTTGGGGTCCCCAGGACAGCGGGGGGTTCTGGGGTGTTTCTGGGGGTGTTTCTGGGGGGGTTTTTGGGGTTCCCCACCCCCCTGAGCGCCGTTTTTGGGGTGCCAGGACAGCGGGGGGTTCCCAGGGGGTCCCGGGGTGTTCCTGGGGGTGTTCCTGGGGGGTCTGAGCAGTGTTTTTGGGGTGCCAGGACAGCGGGGGGTTCCAGATGGTGTCGCTGCTGCGGCTGGCGCGGGTCTCGGAGGAGGGGGTTCTCTTCCAGCCCCCCCACGGCGGGGAGGAGATCCTGCTGAGCCCCGAGAGATCCATGGAGATCCAGAACGCCCTGGGTGGGCCGGGACCCCAAAATCCCAGGGCTGGGACCCCAAAATCTCAGGGATGGGACCCCCAAACCTGGGGGGGTGGGACCCCCAAAATCCTGGGGGATGGGACCCCAAATCCCAGGGGATGGAACCCTGAAATCCAAGGGAATGGAACCAACACGGGGGGTGGGACCCCCAAATCCGGGGATGGGACCCCCAAAATCCGGGGATGGGACCCCAAAATCCGGGGATGGGACCCCCAAAATCTCAGGGCTGGGACCCCAAAATCCCAGGGCTGGGACCCCCAAACCTGGGGAGGTGGGACCCCCAAAATCCTGGGGGATGTGACCCCAAATCCCAGGGGATGGAACCCTGAAATCCAAGGGAATGGAACCCCCAAATCTGGGGTGAGGGACCCCAAAATCCCGGGGGATGGAACCCCCACATTCTGGGGGATGGGACCCCCAAATCCCGGGGGTGGAGCCCCCAAATCCCAGGGGGAGAGACCCTCAAATCCTGGGGGATGTGACCCCAAATCTCGGGGAATGGAACCCCCAAATCCCAGGAGTGGAGCCCCCAAATCCCAGGGGGAGAGACCCTCAAATCCTGGGGGATGTGACCCCAAATCTCGGGGAAAGGAACCCCAAAATCCCAGGGAATTGAACCCCCAAATCTGGGGGGAGGGACCCCGAAATCCCAGGAGTGGAGCCCCCAAATCTCAGGGGGAGAGACCCCCAAATCCTGGGGAAGAGGGACCCCCAAATCCCAGGGGTGGGACCCCCAAACCTGGGGGGATGCACCCCCAAATCCCGGGGAGAGAAACCCTCAAAATCCTGGGGGATGGGACCCCAAATCCCAGGGATGGGACCCCAAAATCCCAGGGAATTGAACCCCCAAGCCCAGGGTGGGAAGGACCCTGGTGGGACCCCCAGACCCAGGGTGGGACCCCAGCCCGGGGATGGGACCCCAAATCCCAGGGATGGGACCCCAAAATCCCAGGGAATGGAACCCCCAAATCTGGGGGTGGGACCCCCAAACCCGGGGGTGGGAAGGACCCTGGTGGGACCCCCAGACCCAGGGTGGGACCCCAGCCCGGGGATGGGACCCCAAAATCCCAGGGAATTGAACCCCCAAGCCCAGGGTGGGAAGGACCCTGGTGGGACCCCCAGACCCAGGGTGGGACCCCCAAACCCGGGGTGACCCCTCCCCGGTACCGGGCCAGGCGCTGACATCGTGATGCAGCTGGACGACGTCGTGAGCAGCACCACGACGGGGCCGCGCGTCGAGGAGGCCATGCACAGGTGGGGACCCCCTGAGACCCCCAAAACACCCCGAGACCCCCCCAAAACACCCTGAGAGCCCCCAAAACACCCTGAGAGCCCCCCTGGGACCCCCTAAAACACCCTGGGATCCCTGGAAACACCCTGAGACCCCCCTGAAACACTCTTGAGAGTCCTCTGGGATCCCCTCAAACCACCCTGGGACCCCCCGAAACACCCTGAGACTCCCTTGAGACTCCCCCAAACGGGCGATCTGGGGGTCTCCCAGCCATGACCCAGCGGGACGTGATGGGTTCCGCACTGGGGCTCGAGGAGATCCAGGGGGCTCAGGAGTGAACTGGGGGTCCCAGGGGTGGTCCCGGGGTGATCTGGGGGTCCTGGAGGAGGCTCAGGGATTAATTTGGGGTAATGTGGGGGGTCTCCACCCCCTCCCAGCCATGACCCAGCGGGACGTGCCCGGTTCCACACTGGGACTCGAGGAGATCCAGGGGGCTCAGGATGGCTCAGGGGTGATCTGGGGGTCCCGGGGTGATCTGGGGGTCCCGGGGGGCAGTTCAGGGGTGATTTGGGGGCGATGTGGGGGTCTCCCAGCCATGACCCAGCGGGACGTGCCCGGCTTTGCCATCGGGGGCCTGAGCGGCGGCGAGGCCAAGGCGCGGTTCTGGCGCGCGGTGAAGCTCAGCACCGAGCACCTGCCCCGGGACAAGCCCCGCTACCTGATGGGCGTGGGGTGAGTGCGGGGGTCCCCCCGGCAGCCCCCCCAGAGCCGGCCGGCCCGGGGGAGACCCCCGGAGTCACCCCCAGTTCGCCCCCAGCTACGCCACCGACCTGGTGGTCTGCGTCGCGCTGGGCTGTGACATGTTCGACTGCGTGTTCCCCACCCGCACGGCGGTAAGGGGGGCTCGGGGGGGGGCGTTTGGGACCCCTCCCCGGGGTTTTGGGGACCCCCGTAACCCGCTCTGGTCCCCCCGCAGCGTTTCGGTTCCGCCCTGGTGCCCTGGGGGTCCCTGCAGCTGAAAAATCAGAAATTCGCCAAAGATTTCCGGCCCATCGACGCCGACTGCGGCTGCCCCACGTGCCAGAGGTGGGCGGGGGGCTCTGGGGAGGGTCTGGGGGGGTCCCCGAGGTGGGGCTGACCCCCCACATCCCCCATTTCCCCCCTCGCCAGGTATTCCCGGGCGTACCTGCACGCGCTGCTGCGCTCCAACACGGCGGCGCTGCACCTGCTCACCCTGCACAACATCGCCTACCAGGTGGGCAGGGGGCTCGGGGGGGCTCTGGGGGG